CTAAAGTCACTGGTTCACAGGATCTGTCACTGACCGCTGTCAGCCTGAAAGTTGTATGAGACATTCAGCTGTCAGTGCTTTCAGGGCTGTGTTGGCTGGGACAGATTGTGATAAATGTAACACTGGCTCCCTACATACAGCCTGTCCAAGGTTAGACTGGGGTGCATCTCAAGCCATGTACAGCGACAGAAACAGGAGCAAAGTTATATAACCTGTGAGCTGTCATTGGATCCAACGGGGTTTAACTAAATCAGAAGCTCAGGCTTTGCGACAGTGTTGGCATGCTGTTGTAAAGCCACCCTCTAACATTCACCACAGCGTCAGCCTGAATGAGCAAAGCTGTGCTACAAGCACCCCAATGTAATAAACACACTGGCATCTTAAATGGAGTGTGTGTGAAATGGACTCAATTGAGAAGTTTTATTGGTTCTGAAAATGCAAAAAAGTTAAAAAATAATACACTAGACTTTGTTTCCCAGTTTGAAGACGTTTCTCTTCCCATCCAGGAAGCTTTTTCAATTCAAAATGTCAGAAATAGCGTTGAGTGCCAGGCTTTATGCAGTAGCTCAACAAAGCCTTGTTTTTGTTTTGAAAACGTGTTTCAAAGTCCAGCGATTTGTTTTTTAACTTCTTTGTAAGAACTATGACCTGTATGACTGAGAATCTTCACCAGCGTTCTGACAATGCTACGTTACACGATAGCCGTGTTAACATAGAGGCAGCAGCAAAGGACTTCAGACACCAAATGATCTATGAGTTATCATCTATCTAAATCAGAGGTGCCAACAGTATTAATGTTTATTACGTCAGAAGGAGTATAAATCCAACTGCTTGAAAAAATATTTTTGTAGAAGTTAGAGGATCAACTTCAGCATTTTACTCCAGTAAAAGTACTATTTTTAAAACTACTTAAAATGTAAAAGTAAAAATAATTCAGGAAAAAATGTTAAGGCCAGAAACTTTAATGCTGTACCCTATTAAAGGAACTTTTTGTCATGATTTTCTTAAGAGATCTGACCCACATGCAGTAAACAGAGAACCAGGGTAAAAGTTTAAACAGGTTTATTGATAAGGACAGCGGGGGTTGGATTCAGGAAACTAAGTGTGCTGGTGAACCAGAACTGGAAGAAGGAAGGGAAGTGTCAGCGGTTAGTTCAGGATCCGTGGGAACTTTGAATGATAGCTGGAGAGACAGAGAAAACGGGACTCACGTTAGTGGAGAAAACCCTTTCTCCCAGAATCCAGTTAGTGTTGGTTTATCCAGAGGTAGAGACTCGTTGGAGGGCAGACAGGTTTAGACTTGGTTGGATCCTGAGGAGCTATTGAGCGGACTGTCACTTGGAAATCTAGGGGGACTTGAATGGAACTTGTGGAGGTTTATCCCCTGCTCAGTGTGAGACTTAAATAATCCTTCCAGGGGGAGAAGGCCAAACATCCAGGTGGCAGGAAGGCTTCCTGCCGAAAGGCAAAGACAAAAAAAACAAGGTTAGGCTCAGTGAAAACAAAGACTCAGTTAGACTCAGCTAAACTCAGCTTGGCTAGAGTACCCAAAAACTGGCAAACACTCTGGCGCCGAGGTAGTGACAGTCCACCGCTCAAATAATCCTCAGTAATGAGCCAACCAGCTGGAGGTGTGTGGGAGGACCAACGAGAACAGGGCGCCACCTGGTGATGGAGGGAGAGAACAAAACAAAAACACAACCCACACAAACTGGATTCCTAACACGTTTTTCTAGAATTCGGGATTATAACTTCCTTAGACTTCATTTTCTTAGTTTTATAACTTATAGTAATAGTGTCACATTTAACTTCGCTTCATCTTGAACAACTATTTATTTTGGTATGTGGTGAACAACAAGTTGGGGCAGCACCGAGTCCAACCCCAAAGAAAATAATTGTCTGGATGAAACTAATTATTTTGATGGTTTTTAATTAGTTTTAAATACCAACAGGCTATAATGAAAATAAGATTAAATGAATCAAAATTAAAGTCTATTTTTAAAATGTAAGGAGCAGAAAGTAAAAAGTGTTCTAAGAAATAATGACTTTAGTAAAGTATAGATAGACAACATTTTCACTTAAGTAAAGTAATAAACTATTCGTACATTGTTACTTGAAATTACTCAAAATCCATGAATTTTTCAGTCCAGTAGGAAACGTGTCATCATGTTTCAAGAACCACTCTTTCATTTTTATTCTCAAAAATGAAAAACGTTTTGGAACATTTTTCACATTATTATTTAAATACATAGTTACAGACTACAAATAAGTTGTGAGCAAAGAAATGAGGAGTATTAGTTTTATATGGAAAGACTCTTCTGCATGGTTCACATTTTGCCTGACATGAAATAAGCTAATGATACTGTTATAAAACAGCGCTTTTTTGCAATTTTGTGGAAGGCAGAAAGACTGCACCTATAATGTGCAAATATGCTTCATTTTGTGGCGATTTAAAGGTATTGTGGAGGATTTTTGAAAAGACCCACCCTCTCCATAAAATAAAAAAAAATGCATGTTCAAGTGCGTGCATGAGCCCATTTTTCCTCATGCACGCTCTGTTTAAAATTATCTCTTCTCAAAGCTCAAACGTCTGCCCTAACCCCTAAATCCCTCCATCAGTGTATAGAGCGGGGACTTTATAGTGAACTTAATGGAAAACTCAGTTAACTGACCATTCAGACAGATGATCACTGCTTTTTGCTCCGTTGGTCACGTAACTCCTCCTCCTCCGTGCGGTGCCTGCGCCATCTTTGTTATTAGTCGCCGCTGTCAGGTAGCGACAGCCTATAGCTGGGCATACAATGCAATTTTTTCAAATGTTGCACGAAGCTACAGCTCTAACTGTACGACAAAACCTCAAGGTTTAAAAGTCACACCTCATGATGCATGTTCTCGCACTGTACGTCCCGACCTTACAATGGCGACTGAATTTCAAACATGTTTGATTTTTCTCCCAACGTTACGATTCCTGATCGGGAGGTGGTCAGGAGAGACTGATCGCTCCTCGTTACCCCCTGTATGCTACGTGATGCAGCGTGCACGACAAGGCTGAAAGTCGGCCCGATCGGAAAATTCTCGCACGACTGGAGAACCGGCCCAAAAACTGCAAAAAAATCATACAGTGTATTCTCAGCTTATGGCGACAGCGGGCCGCCGTGACAGCAAATCCCAGAGTGCTTTGCAAAGAGAGCTCTCTGTGCTCACCACAGATATATCTATACTTTTAACAAAATGTTGCAAATATTAATAATGATGGAAAATATGCACCGTAGTACGGAAGAGGATTAGGGGCACTGAAAAAAAAAATTAACTGATTTTAAAATTTTATTTCAGTTTAACATGGTAAAAAAGTCAGAAT